AATAAATATTTCATAATATTTGTAATAATATTGTTTATTTGTAACAATGTTCATGATCCATGCAATCTAAGTCATAAAAATGTTTATAAAATATTAAAAATAAATTTATAAATATTTATAAATATTTTGTAAATACTTTATAAATATTATATTGTGTGCTGTGTGGATAAATCGCTATAAGTAATTTAATGTGTGCATATTACTACTGTAGTTCAATTGATTTGCGTTTTAAGACCAAAAAATTAATTTGCGTAATTTAAATGACTATACATAGATAGTATATAAATTCACATATAAATATTTAAGCATTTAAGATCTACAACCGTTAAAGGCTTTGTTTTCTTTCTTGCAATAATATATAATTATGAAACAAAATTCTTTATATAATTTAGCAACATATTTTTTAACACATTGCAACTATTATTTTCTGTAGTTTAATAGAATATATTTATTAATAAGTTATTACGTTTTTTTGGTCCTGCTTCTCAAATACATCTTCATGTTCGTCCTTGTTTAATGTTTCATCCCCGTTAAACTCTTGTTTGATATCACTCATCAAGCTTGTACTTGCTGTTGTAGAAGACATTAACTGTATAGGAATCTCTATACTTTGATCATCCACAAATAAATCATTACACTTCCATATTAGAATTCGTTGATCCGTGCCACCGGAAGCAAAAAATTTACCATCATTTGAAAATGTTATGCTTGTTACCTCAGCGTAATGTTCCTTGAAAGTACTAATTGGACAACCATTTGGAAAATCTAAAACCTAATCGTGATATTTTGCTTGTTACCAGCAGATCATAATTTATGATAATAATTTATTGAAACCACTGTATATGAAAACAAAGTTTCAGTTAAAAGTACCTTCGTTGTAAAATCATCAGAAGCTGTTAACATGAAATTTCCATTTGGATGAAATTTAATCATATTTACATTTGCGATATGAACAGTGGACTGATGATAAAACAAATCTGTTCTTAGATCATACAATTTAATAGACCCATCCGCATTTGCTGATCCAACAACTGTATCTGTTGGATGAAACTCTACGTATCTAGTGGGAACTAATATAGAACAATTTTACTTTAAATTCCTAAAAGATGAAATTATAATAATATAATGCATTTTATAAACCTTTTGCATCAACAAAAGTTTTGACGCATTGTCCGCTGGTAATGTCCCATATTTTTATTGTTTTATCATCGCTACACGATGCCAAAAGTTTACCATTTTGAGAAAATTTAGCACATCTGACCCAATTTGTATGTCCTTTAAACGTCTCGAAGTATTTTTCACGATGTAGTATCCATAGTATTATATTTTTGTCATTTGACGCGGAAACAAACTAAACGTATTGTTAAATTATGTAAGTCGCCTATGACAAGGATCTAATATTATATTTATTACCCAGACAGTACAGAATATTTATGATAAATATTTACTAACATTCATTTTTTGAAATGTTATATAACTATTTTATACACATTTTACATAAAGCTTTATTTGAAATATTAAAGTATAGGCTAAATATACTTTTTGTAATATTTATAATAAATATATTTCTAATAAGAGATAAATATTTCGATTTTCTACTTGGATTATTTTTTAAGTATTTTTATAGCATTTATTACAACATTTACAATAAATAATATTTATAACAAATGTTTTTTAATCTGCGCAATCTAGGATCACAAAAATCTTTATAAAACGTTTAAAATAGGTCTTATAAATACTTATAAATATTTTGTAACACAATATATTGTGTGCTGTACGTTTGGATAATAATTAATTAATCATAAAAATTACCCTATCTCCCTCTGGATTAAATTGTACCGATCTCACAGCAGAATCATGTCCTTTATATGTGAAATTTACATTATTTGCAGAATCCCAAATTTTGATACATTTATCTTTGGAAGCGCTAGCTATAAGACCACCATCTGGTGAATAGCATACGTCCAATATATCGGCTTTATAGACTTCAAATCTTTTACCCTTTGGCTTATCCGTTCTCCATAATCCTAATGTTCTATCCAGGCTACTCGATACCAATTTATTGGTTTGTATCGGATGGAAGCTTAACGCTGTAATGTTATTGTTGTGACCTTCCAACTCTCTGTATAAGTACGGATATTTAAAGACATTTTCTTCCATTGTTCTAGTAGCACAATAAAGTAATAAAGAAATGAATAAGGTTTTAAGGGTGCAGTCACATGGAGTCAGAATTCAGAAATAGCGGAACGAAACAACAACGGAAAAGGCAAATGGAAGGGGATAACCAATCAGAGCATTCCGTTACGTTATTTCGTAACTGGGTTTCACATGGAATCTGTTCTTTTTGGTTGAACTTTTGCACCAGTTCATCATTTTTCCTTCTCTTCTTCTAGAAAAAAAAATATGTATACAAAATGGATAATTTTTTAAATACGCAACTATGTGTTTTCTTTACACCATTTGATTTATCTCATTATTCTGTTCACAAAAGTATTAAGGTACGATAATCAAAAAGTCAACAGTTTACGAGTTATTTAACATTTTGTGTCAATATGTATCAAAATAAAGTGTAAAATATCTCGAAAACTATTGGTTTTTTGGTACCTCTACCTTAATACTTTTATATGCAAAATAATTAGAGGAATCATGTTATCTAAAAAAAATTACATAATTCTATTTAAAAAAGTGGAGGTGACCTTCATATCTTTTTAGCGCCTCCACCAAAAAAACAATTATTAACATCACATTATGTGCCCCTCGAAACCAAGCAACTTTTGTTTGACACTTTTTCTTCTATTGTCAAAAACAAGCGAGTTATTCAGGTGACCTGTTTTAAATGCCCCTCCCTGTATATATATTATGATTTACATTCAAAACATATTATTTATTGTAATATGTAGGTGTTTTTGATAGCAGGATAGAGTTATCAGGAAAGAAAATTTTTGTGACCACTTTGCTCGGTTTGATAAGATTTTAGAAACGATCAAGAAAACTTTTTAGAGATTTATTAAAGAATAAATGAATAATTTATATGTGATATATGATGACTGCAAAACAGATGCTGCTAATATATAGGTATAATAATATTATGCAATATAGAAATATTTATAAATGTATATATAATTTTTAATAAAATTACATTTACTTGTCGCCGCAGGCGCGCGCGCACACACACACAAGTGCAAAAATAGTGTATTTAAAATAATATGGAATATAATACAATATCGCTACTATCTTAAGTAACATGCACATTGAATTATAAAATATACATATATATATTTTATTACAAATTATATAAATTAAACTAATGTAACACGAAATACGTTATGTTTTTTGTGTATATGTATAAGATGCCTCAAATTTTTTAATGTTAAAACTTCGGGAGCGTATAAAGGATCGATAAACTAAAAAGAAGTCCTTTATGAATTTTTCTGTTTTTACTTCGTTTTGGAGAAAATTGTAAAAAACAAAAAAGTTTTTCATTTTTCTGTTTAGTGCAATGCTTGCGTTGCTGTAAGAAATTATTTCAGATAATGCCTTCATTACCCAAGTAACACATGAAGCTTTAAAACGTCTGCGATAATGTTGCCTCTCAGCTTAAATTGCAGCATTTTTATCTATGACAGTCATTGTCATAACGTCATTATGACATTGTGACAAAGTTGTAGCAGCCCAAAAATGGGACAATATTTTTGGGCTTTGAAGACGATGTCGCAGCCATTCATAGCGAAAGTCAAGGCTACATAACGTTATATAGCCTTTACTTTCGCTGTGATATACAAATTACGGCTAGATAACAGCTATCAGTACAACCAAAATAGCTGTGGCTGCATTTTGACTTTTCCATTAACTGTCATAATGATTACGCAACTATTAATACAAATAGCTTTGGCTGCCAAATAGCTGTAATTAAAACTGACATGTATATATGTATATAGGTAATATGTATAATACATGCATATATGTAAGGATATTATACTAGCTACATTTTTGCTGTCGCAGCGAACATAGTCAGACCGTGTTACTTTGGTAAGAAAATGATAACATAAATAAATAAACAAATGTGTAAATAAATAATAAATAAGTAAAAAATGAAAACGTTTTTTTGCAATTTTGTCTAAAACCAAAAAATAAGCAATCTCTAGAAAACTTTTCTCTTAGTTTATCGATTCTCTATACGGTCATGAAGCTTTTTAACATTTAAATATAAAACGTTCAGCATAATATAAAGTACTGAAATACTACTTGTTAAAAAATTTCTGTCATCTTTTAATATGAATTATAACTATTTATTTAAAATTCTATCTAGAAATTAATTATCAATATTACATATCTATATACATATTATTCTATGATTAATGGTTATAAGCTATAGATTAACGGTTATAATACCTGAAGAAGTTAGTTTGCTAAGTCTCTCTTATTCTTATAATATTGTAAAATGTTGTAATATATTAATAATGATATGTGTTATGATTGTATTTTCATCACAGAATCTTTCCATTGTTTTAATGGATTAATTCGATATCGACAACGAATGCCTAATTTTGTCGAATTAGCACGTTTTTACAGAACGGGAAAAAACTTTTCCAGAAAGTTCAATATTCATAATGACTTAGATTTCATCTTTCGTTGATAGTTCTTGACTTCTGCATGATTTTAGATGTAATTTGCCCAATTTATGTAATAAATACTGAAATATAGGTATATCTTATAAAATTAATAATTCTTAATGTAATGTAAAAGTACGTTTTTTTTTTAAATAAAATAATTGCCTTTTATAACTAATAATAAATTAGTTGCATGTATCAAATTATTACTTTCTCTTGATTCTGCTTCTTGTATATATTTTGTACTTGTCCGCTGTTGTTCGATTTTTTTTCTACGTTGTCAAATTTTTGTTTGCTAGAGATTCGTGTCATAAAGTTCCTGTTTGCTGTTGTAGACGACATTAATTGTGTAGGATTTTCTCTACTTTGGTCATCCACACATAAATTACATTTCCATATTAGAATTCGTCGATCAACGCCACCAGAAGCAAAAAGCGTACCATCTCTTGAAAATGTTACGGATGTTATGCTACTACAGTGTCCTCTGAGAGTATAAATTGGTCGGCCTTCTAGAATATCTAAAATCTAGTCGATGTTTCTTAATTAATAGCAAATAGAATAATAATTTATTGAAATTATTAAATGAAATAAAAATCTTAAACTACCTTCATTGTAGAATCCATAGATGCTGTTAACATGAATTTACCATTTGGATGGAATTTAATCATATTCACAGGCCCTGCATGAACAGCATAATGCTGGCATAAAGAATCTGTTCTTAAATCGTACAATTTGACACATGCATCCGTATTTGCTGATCCAATAGTTGTGCCGCTTGGATGAAACTCCACATATTTAGCAGGAGCTAATATAGCAAAATTTTATTCTAGTCTAGATTTTTAAGACATAAAGTTATGATGTACTTAACAAACCTTTTATCTCATTAAAAGTTTTAACACATTGTCCACTGGTAATGTCCCACACTTTTATTGTTTTGTCATCACTACATGATACCAAAAGTTTACCATCCGGAGAAAATTTAACGCAGCTTACCCAAAATGTATGCCCTTTAAACGTTCTGAGAAATTGTTTTTGATATGGTATCCATAGCTTTACACTTTTATCATTTGATGCAGTAACTAACTAAAAATTATGAAAACCAATTAGATAAACTGTCTATGGCAAGATCTATATAATAAAATAACTAATAATTAAATAATTGAAATATTTTACCTTTTCTCCATTTGGACTAAATTGTACTGATCTCACTGAAGAACTGTGAGCTCTGAAGTCAAATGAATGTCCTTTAATTTTGGGAATCCAAATTCTTACGGATCTGTCTTTTGAACCACTGGCCATGACTTCTCCATTTGGTGAATAGCACACATCCAAGACAGCATCTTTATGGGCTATAAACTTGTAAGCTGGCTTTAAATTTTGTAATCGCCACAACATTACTGTTTTGTCCATACTGCTTGATATGAGTTGATCAGTACTTGGATGAAAGTTTAAAGCAGTAACTGCGTTGTTATGACCTATGAAATATCCTTGATACATAGGTTCACAACTAGTTTCTTCCATTATCTCTTCTGTTCTGATAGTATAATAAAATAATATTAGAATAAAAAGTAAATATGAAAATACATGAGAAATAATATCACATGAGATATGAGTATAAAAGAAAAAGTTTTAATTGAAATTGATATATTAATTTGGTAATTATACAGAATCACTCGAGCAGCTTAAAAATCGATCAAATTAGGCTTATTCGACGCGTTTTTGCATGAAACGAAAGAATCTGGCAGAAATAAGCGTCGCTCTGCCCTACGAACCGAGATATTTAATGTTAAAGTTGACGACTATTCAGGTTAGGAAATCTGTCTTACCGACTATATGTAGTGCTACGAGTATGCTTTCTTCATGCTTTCTGACCTCGTGCACAAGGGGCGCACAACTTCTACAAAACATACACAATAACCTCAAAAAATTCATATTACCAGTTGTTATAAAATTACAGATAATTTTATAACAAACATATGAAATAAACCTAAATATGCTATGCATTAAATACTATATGTTCATGAATTCTTTATAGCGTTTTAGATAATAATTATCATAGTGGGAATATGTAAAAATTAATAATGCTGAGTCGTTTAATGCGAACGTTATATGATTTATTCAATTTAATTGTTTCATTTAATTAATATTCATATACTTACCTTTAATTACAAATCATTCATGCGAGAAAAGATTTGTTATACAATCTGGAGACACGACAGCGTCTTGACTGTCTCGGCGCTAAAATACACAGAACATATATACTAAATAAGCATAGCAACCATATAGCACAAAATCAGCTAATATTTTATTTTCACTAAGGTTTTCTTTACAATTTCAATAATTCAATGTAAAAACAGATGGTACTTTTTGAAACAGCTGATGGGTCAACTATCAACAACCACACTAATCAATTAAAGTTCTAAAAAATTAATTATTTCGGAAGTGACACACACACACACACACACACAATATTTAAAATAGTTCTATATCTTCAAATATTTCAAAATGCAAAATTATGCTTAATGCATAAGAGAATCAACCAATCAAAATTCTTCTTTTTCGAGAAATGATAGAAAAGATTGGTCTCGATTGGTTGATTCGCTTGTGTGAATCATTGTGCGTTAAGCCCGATCTACAATTGCGTAAACGTAGTGTAGTTATAAGAATTGACTAATCACAGTTGAATACGAGGAAAATATTCGATTGTCATTGGTCAATTCTTATAATTACAACTACTTATGCCTAGTTCACACTGGATGGGCGATGAACGACAAGCGATAAAAGCTTTGCTTTTGCTCACACGACGATGTAAAGCAGAGTTCTTATTGATTACCGCTCGTCGCGCATCGCTCATCGCGCCTAATGTGAACTAGGCATTACAACTACGTTTACGCAATTGTAGATCGGGCTTTATGCCTGGTTTAAGGGGGTTGATTTATACTGGCCGTAATCTGTTAACTTATGCCGTAATCTGTAAAAATTGACCAATCACAGTCGAATGAGAGGGGAATAATCGATTATAATTGGTCAATTTTTACAGATTACGGCATAAGTTAACAGTTTACGGCCAGTATAAATCAACCTTTATGCTTCGGTCTAAAGCCGTAATCACACTACGAGTTGCGCGCTCTGTTGCGATTGAGATTACGGTTGAATGTTGGAAACTAACCAATCAGAGCAGAGCATGCATAATCCTAAAATTCAGCCAATAGAGTTCAAATTTCGGTTAGAACTGGCAGTTTTATTGGTTGAATTTTAGGATCTTGGGATTAAGACCTGAAGCATAAGAGCCCCAACACACTCTTTTGCATAACGCATAAAGCATATACATAAAGAATTTGATTGGTCCATTGACTCATGCATAAGAAAATGGGCCAATGAAATTCCTTATGCACATGCTTTATACGTTATGCAAAAGTCTGTGCTTCCCGCTTAATTCCGACCATTATGGTCGCGTTCGGCTGTCCTCGGGCGTCCTCGAGCGTTCTCGGGCCCCGCGAATCTACTGATTCTACGTATCGGTATGTGTTGTATGTATGTACTTGTTGCGCGTCATTGCGCGTTCGCATGCGCACGCTCACAACGTCGTTCGCGCTGTATTTTTGCGGGGACCGTCGAAAAAGCCGCGAGATAGCTGTTCAACGGAGTCGCTGAAACACGCACGCACGTTGTCAAAATATGGCAAACTATCACAAGCCAGAGTCGAAGACTATTCAGGAGCTGCGGGACATCGCGAACAAGTTGAGAATTCATGCGATCGAGGCGACGCAAGCCAGCAAATCCGGGTGAGTCCGTCGTTCACTTCCCTCATATCAATCAGCGATGAAAAGGACTACGGTCGCTCTATGACCGGCGGATCCGGCTGCGGCGTGGTATATGTTACTATATACATGTACACGCTGCCTGAGACGGTGATAAGCGAAAACGCATCTCGTGGTTGCGTGATAATGATGTAATCACATGCGTTCGGAAATTCCCGCGTGAATGCTATCGATTGCCCATTGAGACCTTCATTTGCGTTTGAAAACGGTATTTAAAACGGCACAAGTATTCGTTCGACGTTTCGTGTGGAGGAGAGAATAAAAATTAATAATTATTATCAGCTCTCATGTAAATTAAAAAAATTTTAAATGGAGAGAATAAAAGTTTAAAAATTATCGCGGAAGGATAGTAAGAAAAAAGAACTTGACACTTGACTGATTGCGCACGTTTAAAGCTTTGAATAAATATCGGACTACTAATTAATTACGGAGTATTTATAGCGTAAGAAATATGTATCTGTATATCTTGACACGTGCATTTATGACCCGATATAGATGTGCGTGATTCTTGATAAAAACGTCGCGCCCATTGTAACGCAGCTATTCATAATTAATACAAATTGAAATGCAGACTGCTGCTAACGCAAAACGCCGAATCAGCGCCTAAAGTCCGTGTCACACACTACGTATTGGAGATTGAAGATTGCGAACTGAAAATTAGAATGGATTACAATTCAGCCAATTAGAACGAAACGGATTAAAGTAAATTATCTATGACTGATCGAATTCTAATTTCTAATTAAATTTAAAACTCGTGTCTCACTCACGGTTGCCAATTCCTCCGGTTTTCGTCCGAAGATTTGGTTTTTTTTTTTTTTTTAATGAATCTTCGGTTCTCCGACTGACGGAAAGCGTTTGATGACGTTTTTCTTTTACGTTTTTGAAAAGATGTATTACAATACAGTAACAACTTTGAGAGTAGCAATCGATTTTCGGAAAGACAAATGGAATTGTCTGGTTTTTAAACCGGGGAAAATTGACAACCGTAGTCATACTAAGCGTTCCAGACTGAGGACTGCGAATTAAGGCGTGTTTATTTCATTTACGATATGTATAAGGTGTTATTTTGTCCTTGTTAAAGAAGGATAAAATAATACATTAAGCGACGTCTACAAGATTTTAAGGCGTAAAATTTAATAAACTTTAAGCCTCAAGCCATAAAAAATTGATCAATCATAATTTATTATTATTATTATTATTATATGTATAAACGCTAAGCTCTACTTATCGAAAATAGGATTATTTCTATTAATTGATTAATTATAATAATTGATTAATCCATTTTGTTTTGATTGGTTGATTTCTAATCTTCAATTCGCGACTCGTTTAGTGTAATATGGGCTTAACTGAGTCGTACAATTTTTCTTCTCATTAATTTTAAGTGCATTCTTTTTTACGCATGATGCGCATGATATATTATTGCACTTTTGTTCTTTATTAAATTTTGAAGAAAGATATAATAATACATTATACACGTCCTTTATTTAACAATCATGTATCATCTCTCCAGAAACATCTCAATTTTTCGAAGGCTACAGCATACAAAAAACTGAAGCAGTAAAACGTAAGCAGTAAAGAAAATAACATGTTGGATTTTCTACTACTTATATTATGACCTTACGATTTCTACTATGATTGGCCAATTCACTGACTTATACGATTTACTGCTTGTTTTTTTTGTGTATCATGTCTTTAAAACGAACGAGAGATATTAAACGTATTTTTGTGAAGATTTTGAAGCGCATATTCAAATTAATGTAGCTTCAGTTCACTCAGTCTAGATTATTTTTACTCTGTAATTAGACAAAAATGATCTTCCTATACATTCAGAATAAACAAGAAAATGTAATGATCAGTGTAAATTATACATTATTTATCTGGAACATGAATCTAACCGAGTATGTACAATTTTATCGATTTGTTCTTGGAAATGGAGAATAAAGAGAAAACGCGTTATTCTCGTAGATTTATTTATTAACTTATGTTAGTAATTTGTGCGCATGATGTATTATTAGATTAATCTAAATTATAAAATCCATTTACGCTATCAACAATCTTTTATCGCGCTGTTCTGGAATGTTTTGTCGACGATCTAATTTAAGAAATTGCTAGTTCATTAGTTTTCTTTCAACTCACATGCGTGTTCTTGATGACTCGCACTTCCAATATTTTTCGCTAAAGTTAGAAAGAAATTAACGAATTATTTCCACCCATTAAAGTATAATATTATTTTATAAAAACTAAAAAGATTTAAAAGAGAGGGATAATTTGATTTAAATTATTACATATTATCTCTACATTGGATATACATATAAATAAAATATACATTACATTCATAATTTTATCATATTATTTTGATAGTTAATAAACATTTTTAATGACAAGCTCACTGATCTACATATATAAAAACAAATATCGTTGATGTGATAAATGAAAAGTGTGCTATGTATTTTTCCGAAAATATCGATTTGACGAATAATATAATGTCCTTCCGGGTTGATTAGCATTTTATATTTCTCAGTTTATATATGGACGATTGTAAGAACTGACTGAAGAAGTAAAGGAGTCATGTGTTTGCAGTTGCCGAGGTCACGCAACGAAGGAAATGTGATAATGACGCTACGTTAGGTTTTCTAATAAATAATTTACCGTGCACAATTCGAACGACTGTATAATTAATAGAAAAGTATCTCATGAATTTTAGTATCAAGAGTGAGTTTTTCGTTAAGGCAGTATCAGTTAAGAAAAGTGCGAAAAAATTGTATCTCTGAAGTTGAAATTTATTTAAAATATAAGATTTTTGTTATTAAACTTCGATTTCTTTCTTTGTGAATAAAACATAATGGAAGTACGCTTATGTAAGATACGTGTCTGAAAAATATGAATTGCCGGTATGCTAATCAAGTATACGCTATTATATGTATGGCGAATGCTCTACGGAACTTTATACTGTGGTGTAAATGTATTTACGCATTTATATACCTTGTGAAACGACTATTTATGTAGTATGAAATAAGATAATAAAATCCTGATATTTTATACGTTTTTAAAGCTTACGATTTCAAATCATCAAAACTCAAATAATTAGACTAATTAGAGTAATGATTACGATAGAGAATCGCAAGATGACATTATTAAAGATCATAAAAATACTCAAGTAAAAATAATTAATTAAAGTGAAAGCACTTTAATTAATGCATGCACTTAAGTTAGAAGACAATGACACGTTGAAATACGAGTATTAATGAAAAGGAAAACTGTTTAATGTAGAACGCTTTTACTCTGATATGTTTATTTCGAGACACTCTATATATTCTGAACGCTCTATATATCGTCGTCATCATTGTAGTCGTCGTCGCAGGGATGAGTTGGAAAAGTAGGGAGATAATCGCGCGCAGCAGTCGGTTCGCTTGTCGGACCGGCCGGGCGATACTCCTCTCGCTCGCCGGCAGTCGCGATCGAAACGTTTGTTATAAGCAACAGAGTCTCCAAAAACTTGAGTGTAATTCAATTCACGATGGTGCGAGACATCAATATAGAAAAACTCCAACATATCGCAAATAAACTGCGTATCGAGTGCGTGAAAGCGACTGAAGCATCAAAGAGCGGGTATGACAAGAGATTTCAAATTATAATTAACATTATAATTAACTAACATATTTCTTGGACATTGGACTTTTTCACCCGCAGATGGACCATTAATCTTTAAACCGCATTAAATAAGTTATACAAATTATTAAATCATTATTTTACTGCAATGAATTTGGAATGATTTTTCTTTAATGTAATAAATAGCGATTTAAATAACAAATAGAGACATCAATTTTATTTTTGTTCCTTAATCATATTTTAATGAAGTTACATATAAGAGAGAGATAATAATAGAGAAGATAGAGATACAGGTGAATTTAATTGTACTTGAATTAAATTATATATAGCCAGTGATGATAAAAGATAAAATGTTATGTAACATTTTGTAACAAATATTTGTTACATTAATGAATATCACTGCTTCTGTGACCCTTCACGGCAAGGGGATTACATATACTTGAAGATAGAATAAATCTGATAATACGTTGTCAATATACTTTGACCTTGCCACGATATGAATGACTTTCGAAAAACAGATATCGTTCGATCACATGAACAGAATTATCACTGATGTATAAACATTATAAAAAAAGGATCGCTAATTAAGTATTTTTATCATCTGGAACTATAAATCATTCGGGTTTAATTTTATATTGATTTATATTTTGTTTTTCTCCAGACATCCAACATCATGTTCGTCCATGGCCGAAATTATGTCCGTTCTTTTCTTCCATACAATGCGTTACAAAGTATCAGCACCACGTGACCCGAACAGTGATAGATTCGTCCTCAGTAAAGGCCATGCAGCTCCAATTCTCTACGCAGGTAAATTTACTATCAATACATTATTGTGCTTTATCAACGTAATTTAATATAACCAGTAAAATTATTAAAATATTTCAATACATATTAATGTAATTAATTAAATAATATTTATTGATTATAATTTTTAAATGTATAACATTTGTTGGTATCTTTGAGAGAATAATTATTTTATATATTATATTTGTGCATTTTATTATATAATATATACAATTCTCTCTATAATTTACATCCACATTTTATTATAGCATGGGCGGAAGCAGGCTTGTTCCCGACAAGCGAATTACTGAATTTGAGAAAATTTGATAGCGATTTGGAGGGA